AAGACCCCCGTCCCGCACCACCCCCGCCCCCTGCTCCCCCACGGGCACCCATCAACAGAGTGGAGGGGCCTTGCGAGAGCTGAGGACGACGCACCTTCCAGGCGCACGGCCCCGGCGACTTCCACTGTGAGGATGGGGGAGGGGTGGATGGCTGGAAGGGTGGAAAGATGGCAGCCGGGTGGACGGACGTGGCCCGTCCAGCGAGGATCCAACTGCCCCAGGCCCTCCCCGGGAGAAAGCGGTGTGCGGGGCAGCTGCCTGCAGCCCGCGGGACAGCCACTTTTGTCGCCTCGGAACATGGCCCGGGGGATGCTGCCAGTGCACAGGCACCCAGCCCAGGCGGACGGGCAGCAGGGAGAAGCAGGTGCGCCGAGGCCCTCGCCGGCCAGCTCCGCCTTCCCTGCCGTCCGCAGCCCGGACGCACCCACCCGACAGCTCCTGCACCATTTAGATGCTGGGCACCATTATGTCAAGTCTGGGTGTCCGAAAAGCATCTCGAACTGAACGCGCCCCAGACTCTAGGCCTCCCCCCAATCCCAGTTATTCCAGCCAGAAACCCGGGGCCCACCCCCTGTCCAGCCCCCCAAAGTCCATCGGCTTTCACCCAATGTACCTCCAGGTGGTCGCCGGGCTGCCCAGCTCCAGGGCCATCTCCACCCCGAGCCACTGCCATTAACCGCCTCCACCCAGTCCTTTCTCCTCGGAGCACCAGGGGGGACAGTTTAAACCCTAAATCAATCGGATCATTTCCCTGCACGCAACCATGACTGGTTTCCATCGCACCTGGGAGGCGGAACCCTGTCCTGCCACTGGACATGCTGTGTGACCCTGAGCAAGTAACTTAACCTCTCTGTGCCACACGCCAGGGACCCGGTGAGATATTTACAAAGCACATAGTACGGTGCCGGGCACAGTAAATGCTCGAAGTCTTTGCTAATAAAGCACAGGACCCCCTGCCCGGCTCTCCAGTTTCCAGCATGCACCCCCTCCCTGGCTAGCTTGTGGCTCTCTCGGCAAGCTGCCCGCAGGGCTCCTCCTGCCCTGACGTCCTCTCCCCCCTGGTCTTCCCGGGATGCGACTCCATACGGGTCCCTCCGTCCCTTCCCCTGGCCCAGACCACGTGTCCCCCACGGGGTGGGGGCTCCCTGGGTCTGTCTCGCTCGCTGCTGGGTAAACCTGTCACGTTGCACTCGCCCAGTAAGATGCCCTCACGAATGAATGGACCAACGGTCACCACTGCAGCCCCCCCACCCCCGCCCTGGCCCACCCAGGTGACGCCTGCTCCCTCCTTGCTGGCCAGCGTCCTTTCCCACGGCTCCCGGGCGGCATGTGAATGAGCTGTTAACGATTTCCGGTTTCCATCATCCTTGCAGAGCCACAAAGCACTGAGGCTGAAGGAAGGAAGGACAGACGGATGTCCTGGGACAGCGGGGCGGGGGGGGGGGGGGGGCAGGAAATGGTCAGTGAGGACGGACGCCTCCTGGGGCAGGGACTGGCTGGCCCGTGCCCAGGGACCGTAATCCCAACCCCCTCCTGCTCCCCAACCCGGCACTGGACGCCCCGGTACGGACGCTTAGTAAGGGCTCAGGCGGCAGGACAGGCAGGGCTGGTGGCCGGGGCTCAAGGAGACACCCGGGCCTGCACCCCACTCCGTCCAGACGCCGAGACCTCGGCCGAGCCGCTGCCCACGCTGAGGAGGGCCCCCCCCCCCGTCACCTGACAGGCGCTGCCCGGAACACACGCTACCCGCTGGTGTCTTCTGAGACGCCAGCTGGGAGTCACAGGCTTCACGGCCCAAGGTGACTTGTCCCCAGTGTCCACCCACGTGTCATCCGTAGGAAAAGCCAGAGATGTGACACATGGCCAGCCACGCTGGACAGGCACCCAGGTAACTGGCAAACGGGGTTTATTAACCGAGACACGAGCAGGGGCTCTGCGGAAATCCCCAAACGGATAAGACCCCATCTGACCCCACGGAGCCTGGCCAGGCACTAACGAACCTGGAGGCTGAGCTGGGCACCCAAGGAGCACCAACTGTTGGGCTGACTGTGGACAGCACTTCACAGTTTACAAGCCGCTCCCACTTAAGGCATCCCCTCCTTCTGCCTTCCGCAGAGCCTGCGGCCCTAAGCAGCTGAGCCTTTGGAAATCAGACCAAAGTAACTGACCTGCAGTCACACTGTGTCCTTACGAACACCACGGAAGACACAACGTTAAATGAGGGGATCTCCTGCTGCTAGGATCCCACAGGCCTGCCTGGCCAGCCCATCCTCCACCCTCCACTCCTCCTCCTCCCCCCCAGGACCCAGGGCCTGGGACTGACCTGCTGTGGACCAATGACCTCCGGGCGGGAAGAAGTGCCAGGCTTCTTCCACTCAGTGGCCTGGGACTCAGGCAGCCAAGCCGGAACCTGCCAGCCAAGGGTTGGAGCCTGTCCCCTCCCAGGCCCCCTCGCCCTCAGCTCCTCAGCTCCGGGAAGGAGCCACATTCATATGTTAATTTCTCCCTGGGACAGGGAGAGTCGCGGAGGGCCTGGGAAGGGGAGGGGGCCTGGCCTAGGCCTGAGCACGGCCAGGCCAGGCTGCACCCCTCATGAGCCCGCTAGCTGGGGAGCGGTGGGCACACAGAGCGGGCGGGTGGGGGCTTTCGCTTGGCATGCTGAGTGGTGGTTTAAAGGGACAACGGGCACGGCACACACGTTTTACAGATTGCCTCATGTGTGACACACACAACAGTCCAGAAATGCTGTGGCCCGTGGCTCCCCCAGACTCTGGCCCTGGGAGACCTGTGGGCGCCCCTCACCCCCAGGAAGGTCCAATCTCCCCTGGGCTGAGGCTGGCCTGGGGGGTGGGAGGGAAGTCCTCTCAGAAAAATAAAGTCACTTCCCCCAGTCCCAGCCCCCTACGGGGTGGGTCACCAAACCCACCCACGCCCTCTGCCCCACTTCCTTTTTCACTCCGCAACTGGCTCACCCACCCCACGCCTCCGGGGCTCTTGCAGAGAAGACTCCCAGGTCCCCTTTCTGACTCCTCTGGGCCCTGAGCCGCCAAAGGAAACTGGAAGTTAGTGGCCAGGACCCAGCTGCAGACCCAAAGGGCTACTCTGTGCGCCCCACGCCCCAGCCCATGCATGCTTCCTTCCGCTCCTCGCCGCAGACCCCAGACGGAGGGATGCTTGGCTCCCTGCACCCTCGGGAGAGCTGCACAACCAACTCCGGCACGAGCTCTCCGAGGGGACAGTGCGGGACGGCACAACAGGCCCAACACAGGCCGAAGGCAGGTCTGCTGAGCCACACGGCCCAGTTTACCCAGAGAGATGAAAACACACGTTCACACAAATACCTGCGAGCCGGCATCCACTGCGACACTAGTCATGACACTCGAAAGTGAAAACGAGGGCAGATCCCATCACCCCGCTGAATAGGGGAAGAAAATGTAGTCTATCCCCGCAGGGGAACATCATTCAGCCACAAAAAGGTAACCAAGTACAAGCACACAACGTAGAGGGGCCTTGAAAATACAACACCAAGTGAAAGAAGCCAGACACAAAAGCCACACGTTTTGTGACTCTATTTATATAAAGTATCTAGAACAGGTAAATTAGTAGAGGCAGGAAGCAGACTAGCGGCTGCCGAGGGCTGGGAGGGGCAGCTGGGAATGGGGAGTGAATGCCAATGGGTTGGGACGCTCCTTTCGGGATGACGGAGTGTGCTGGAATTAGACAGTGGATTAGATGGTTAATTTCATGTCCGCTTGACTGGGCTATGGGGTGCCCAGATATTTGGTCAAACAGTATTCTGAGTGTGTCTGTCGATTGCTTTTGGATGAGTTTAACCTTTAAGTGGATTAGCCGGGTAATGTGGATTTCACTCCCTAACGTGGGTGGGGCTCCTCCGATCAGCTGAAGGCAGGAGGGTTCAGAACAGGATACCCCGAAATACGGTGCCCTGGCATAAACTATTCTAAGCTGAAGGGATGTGAGAAATGGCAGGTACAAGGAGGACTCCCTGACCTCCTCCTTCTCTGGAGCAGGTCATAAGGCCTCATGGGAGAGGTGCCCTCCCCACACCCAGGGAAAAAGAGCCCCCTTATTTCTGAAGATGGGGGGAGGGGCGGCTCAGAGAGGGATCCAGATGCATCCCCAGCTTGCGCTCTGAGCCCACACTCTCGTGTCCCATCACGTTACTCTTCGTTAAACCTAGAATAAATTTCTCTGGGTCTCTGCTTCCTCTCGAAGCCAGGTAAAACCTGCATCACATACACCGGCATGCTTTTCTCCCGCTAATCGCTGTCTGTCGGCGTAATCTGCAGGGTGCCTGCCAATGCATTTAAAATGGGTAGAGGGAAAAGGTTTCGCTTACCTGGGATAGATTTTGTTCTATTTGGGCCTTTTGCGATTTTGTTACGAAGGCCCAGACAGACCAAAAGGACTGACCCTCCCGAGGAGGGCAAACGAACTCCCCCTGCCTGACGCCTTCAAACCGGAATATACGCTTTTTTTCCTGCTTTCAGACCCAAACTGACACAGGGTCCGCCTGGTTGTGAGCCTGCCAGCCTTGGGGCGGGACGCCCGAGGCCCCCTGGATCTGAGCTCACCTGGCTTACCCTCCGAATCTTGGCACATGCTAACTCCCACTATCAGGGGAGCCGATTCCTTATAAACCTCTTTAATCTGTCCATGTGGACACACGCACCTTCTGTTGGCTCTGCTGAGTAACTCTGCGAACATACTGAAACTGCAGGATTGTCTGCTTTGAAGACCTGGATTTTATGGTATGTGAATCACATCGCGATAAAAAACTATTATTAAAAACACCAACAGCAACAAAGAGCTGTGAGCTGTGTGCCCTCCCCCACAAACGGGAGTGGGGCCTGTGCCCTCCTGCCCGGGTGTCCCCAGCCTCCTGCCTCCAGCCGGGTCCAGAAACGCTGCCCGATGGCAATCCCGATGGCACCTGGCTCCAAGGGGACCAGGCTCCCTTCTCTGGGTCACGTCTCCAGGCCTGTAGCCACGAGCGGGCGGGGGTCCTCGGCCTGGCACCCGCCCTGCTCCAGCCTGCTCCTCACACCCTGCGGTGGACACAGGGGCCTCGCCAGGGGTTTTCGAATGGGCCCCGGGTGCCCCGTGCCGGATCTGTTACATCACAGAATGACTCCTTTTAAGTAAAGAACGAAGCCATAAACCCCAACTTGAAAGGACGGGAGTGGCGATAAAACTCCAGCCAGTCGGAAGCAGGAAAGGTCCAGCTCAGCGCGTCCCTGAGGTCCCTGGGCAGGAGGCACAAGAAGGGAAAACCGGATCCCAAGACACCCAGCTCTGCACCCCATTCCCTGTCAGAACCAGCCGTGCACGGCAGTGGCAGCGAGGCCCCGGGCCTGGCAGCCCCCACAGCCCCCCGCTGAAGGCACCAGGAGCGGGGACTGCCCAGCAGGGCCGAGAGGAGGGCAGTGGCGGTGGGAGGGTCCCGGGCCATCTCTGGCGGGACCCACTCCAAACCTGGAAGAGGCGAAGCCCTCTCCCTCCACATATCCCAAACCCTAACAAGGCCAGCCAGGAGCTTGGTGCACGAGGGAAAGTTCAAGTGAGCCCCACTTAGGCCCGTGCGGCTCAGGTTTAATTGTAACGTTAGCACTTTGCTGGTGTCTCGAGCTCCATCCTCCCCAGCAGACCCTGGCGAGCCCCACAGTGACCTGGGGCGGAGCCAGCTCAGTGCACGCACAGGTCGGGGGCTGCCCTCCCCCCGCCCCACCCACCAACACCTGAGCCCCTCAGGGGACCAGGCTCCCTTCTCTGGGTCACGTCTCCCCACAAGCCTAGGAATGGGCAGCACAGAAGGATGTGGAAACCGAGGCACACGCAGAGAGGTCACGCACTTGCTTCTCCTTCCGAGGCCCATGGGGGGAGGAGGGCGCTGGCCGGGGCTGAGCTCTGGGCTGGTCCCAGGAGTCTGGGGAGACAGGACCAGGCGGTCCAGGTCAACGTTAACCCTGGGGAGGACACTGGGAAGGGCGGGAAGGGAGCCAAGGACTCCACGCCCGTGGCCGCTCTCCCCAGGTGGGTGGCAGCAGGCGGCGGGGGACGGGGTGCCGGGGTGCCGAGTGGTGGCAGCACCCAGGTGGCCTGAGCAGCAGCAGGAGCAGGCACAGGCTGGGGGGTGGGGCCACCGGGGCCTTCCCTCACTGCCTCCTGGACATGTGGCAGGGTGGGGGAGAAACCCCTGGAGTCCTCCTCTGCAGCCCCCACACCCAGAACGCTGAGCCACCTTCCCCTCCTGTCCTCCCGCTGTCCCCACATCAGAAGGGTCCTGTTCCCTCCCCCCGGATCTCTGGCAAAATGCGAGGGCCCAGGCCCAGCAGGCATCCCACATGCTCCTGGGCCCCACAATTTGCTGCGTCCCGGCCTTCCTGGGGCGCCTCACCTGAGAACCAGGTATGTGCTCATCACCCAAGCAAACCAGAAGCTTCCGGAAGGCCCACCTTGCATGTGTCCCCCTCCCCCCCCAAGCAGCCCGGGGCTGCCCCACGGCGGGACTGAGCAGCTGCAGTGGCCTCTGTGCCCGCCCAGGCCTCGCCTCAGCCGTTCACCTCCCCGCGGCCTCACGACGGTGCCACGGAGCGGAAACCACCATTTTCCACTTTTCAGACAGAAAATGGCTCTGAGAGGGCGACAAGCACATCTAAGGCCACGTGGTTAGTAAACGGAACCAGCCGTCCGCCCACCCACGTGCGGGCTGCCTCCCGGCACCATCGACCAACTTCACCAAATTCTTAGGGGCTCCAGGGGCTGGAAGGAGCCAGGGGCCTCCTGACGCGGGCCCAGTCCCCGGCGTCTTGCAGTGGCCTTGTGGTGGCCCAGTGAGTGGAGGCCGGGCTGGCACCTGGGCCGGGGCTCCCTCGCAGACAGGCCTTCCGGCCACAGCGACAGCCAGGGTGAAGTCTGCTCCTCTTCCTGCCCTTCTTGTCTCTACAGGACCCTCGCCAGAGCCTCACGCCCTCCCTCTGCTCCCCGATCTTCCACCTTTCACCCCGAGCCACCCCAGTCCCACCGGGACGCCAGGCCCCACCTGGAGGCTCTGCTCTCAGAACCGACTCCGAGGACTCGCAGCCCCGCTGGGGCACTAAGTGACCCGCGGAGGCCCACCCTGGGCGCAGGGCGCCGCGGGGCTGACGTGCGGGGCGGAGGCCCTGCTCCACCAGCCGCCGCCCGGGCCCCTTCCCACCCGGAGCACAAGTGGGAGGAAGACGCCAGGGCGGGGCGGACAGAGGCTCTGCCGAGAGCCCGACACGACATGTTCCTGCAGAGCCGGAGGGCGCCAACCGGAGGACGTTACCACGGCCCTCACTGGGGACTCCTGCGGCACCTCTAAGGAGGCACAAAACCCAGCCCCCGTCAGGGCGGGCCCCAGGGGCTCTGGCCAGGGCTGCAGGGCAGCACCTGGATTTCGTGGGGGGAGCCGGCCTGGGCTGGGGTGGACAGCGGACGTGGCTCTGAGTCAGCTTCGACCTCCTTCACTCTCCAGTTAATTGTTTATAACGAACAAGTCATTTTTTCTCTATGTCACCAACCAACTCACCAACCAAACACTTCACAGTGACCTCCCTGCTCGCTGACAGTTGGAGGGACGGGCATGCCGAGGACCACTGAGACCTCCCCTCCCGCCCCTGGGCGTGTACGCTGAACCCTATTAGATAGGAAATTCAGTGTGAACCAAGTTTCCACTCCTATGGACTATTCCAGAAGGCAGGGAGGAGGGGGCTTGCCTTTTCACCACTCTCAGCTAGACGGTTTGAGGATGGGACTTGGGACGGGACCCGCCCTCCTTGCTCAAGAAGAGGCTCAGAGGGTGCCCCGCCCAGGCCCAGCGCCTGACACCAAACTCACTCCACGTCCAGCTCAGGTCCCCCAGGCCTCCCACACGGGGGTTCGCCTAGCTGACCCCTCAGGAACGGGGCACCTCTGGGGGAGCGCAGGGGGCTGCAGCTAAGTTCCCCGCCAGGGCTGGGGGCCCGAGGCATGGCCCACACAGTGCTGCTTCTCCACCAGGGCCTGCTGGGCCACCAGGAGCTCGGGGGCTTGGCAGAGGTCCCAGGGGACCAGCCTGGACGTGGGGCTCTCCGTGGGCAGCCAGGGCCGAGGGCCTCGGCTCTGCGGATACCAGCAGGTGACACCGTGCCACCGGGTGCCAAGCAGCACCAGGCCCTGTGTAGCCATCATTGAATTTCCTCTTAGATGTCCCCATTTCACTGAGCCACAGAGTCCACAGGGACAACCAGGCCAGCTCAGTGGTGGCTTCATTCAGCTGTGCTCTCACTAAGTCACCGGGGAGCCCACGCTGGTCACTGGGGCCTGGTACTGGCCGTGGGAGTCCAGCACTGGCCATGGGGCTCTGGCCCTGGCCACGGGGCCCAGCGCCGAGGACTCAGACAGCGGGACCGTGGACTGGTGGACAACAGTGACACACCGGCAGGGCGTGTGCTCTGCGCCTGGCCTCGGCGGCTCCCAACACGGCGCCCTCTGCCACCGCGGGCCCTGGTGCGGGGGAGCAAGACCAGGAGGACACGGGGCCGCACCTGCTCCCCACACAGCTCCCTGTGCCCCGGGGGGCCGCGGCCCCTCCTCCAAGGCTCTCTGAGCGGGGTCTGCGCCGCTCCCCCAGCCCGGCCCCAGCTACAAACAGTGGCAGCTCTCCCCCCACTCAGCAGGGCCACCGTCCGGCCTGTCCTCGGTCTTCGCACCAGCAATGGGCCCATCTCCTCTGTGCACAAGGCACAAAGGACATCAGTGCCGTCCCGGGGACCCCACTTCTCACAGGGGAGGGGAAGTGGGGCGGGGGGACGCGCTCGAATCCCCGAAGAAATGCTGCTCCTACACCTGTGTCCTTAACGTGCTCCCAGGAGACCCAGTCAGCGCCCAGCGGGGGCAGAGCGGAGATTCTCGCGGGAACCACAAAGTATTTGGATAAGAGTTGACAGTCTGTGGTCACCGTTCGTTCATTCAAACTTTAACTGTGCCAGCACCTATCACACGGGGACACAGGGACAAATAAGACACGGTCGCCACCTAAGTGCTAGTGGGAGAGGGGACAGGAGAGGGCACAGGCTCAGGGCTGAGTCTGTCCTGGCATCTCCTGGTCCCTGGCCACAGGCACCTGGGAGAAAGCCAGGAGATAAGATAAGAGATAAGGATCTGGGAGGAGGGAGGACGTGTGTGCACATTCCACTGGGGACACAGGCAAGGACAGCCGTTCAGTGACCGTTCAGATGACCAGTCACTGGGCACCCACAGGCAGGCCCGGGGGGTGGAGGTGGCAGGCCCTGCGGGGGGCACAGGCCCAGGAAGGGGCTGCTGCAGGCCAGGCTCACCAACAGAGCAGAGGACCCCTCGGCCGCTTCCCGAAGGCCATGCAGGGGTCAGGGGTCAGTGTTGGTGACGTCGGCCCCCACCAGCCCAACCCAGAGTTGGGGTTCCAAGTGCAGCCTTGTCCCCTGCCTCCAGCTTCAGGAGGAAGACGAGAAAGTTCGGGGTGCTTCTGCCCACCACGCAGTTACTGAGCCTGAACGAGAGCATTTACAAATCGAATTTTGGCAGCCGGCCAGGGAGGGGGCAGCTGGGTTTGTCACCTCCTCTTTCAGGCCCTTTGCACTGACCACCCCCCAGTAAAACCCAGGCCTGGCCCCCTCCCAGCAGGCAGATCATTAACTCTGCTCTGGAGGTCCATGTGGGAGCGCTACGGGGCGCCAGGGGGCCTCTCCTGCAAGCCCCTCTCCTCCTGTGGCCCTCAGAGCCTGGGGGGGAGGGTACGGCAACCCCCAAGGCTCCTAAGGAGCCCCCCCAAGAGCTGGGCAGGCCCCCAAGGCTCCTAAGGAGCCCCACCCCCCGAGAGCTGGGCAGGCAGAGGTCTGGGGCGCTGAGTGTGCCAGAACCTCCCCACCTCCCAGGCGGGGGCAAGAGGGACCCTCTCTGGCCTGTAATTAGACCCACTCCATCCCAGCCAATTCCTCGTAAAACAAACTCCCCGGGGAGCGTTCCTGGGAAAGCTTCCGAAGGCTCCACGGAACTCACGGGAGCAGGTCCCTGCCTGTCCCGGGACCCAGGCTGGCGCTCAACAAACAATCAAAGCTCAGGGCTGGAAGGCAGAGGCCGGGGGTGGGGGCCCAGCCAAGGGCCACACGTTCTGCAGGAAGCATCTTCCCCAAAGACCCTCGAGGGCCGCCAGCCCCAGGCCACGTCCGGCCCCCATGCCTTCCCAAGGCCCGGCTGGCCGTGTGGAGGATCTATGCTACGGTGGGGGCTGGGGCAGCCCCTGCAGCTCACCCCAGCCAGGGGTGTGGGGTGGGCACTGAGCAAGCACCAGCCCTTGCCCTCACAGGCTAGAATAAAGCTGTTCTTCCCACGCACTCGGCCAGTGAGAGCGGGCGGAAGCCCAGGGACACCGGGGTAGGATGGGAAGGCTGGGAACGCAGGCACAGGCTGAAATGTGCAGGGAATCAGATAACGGAAGTGCGCTGGCCATGGTGACCATGGTGACCAGCTTCTTAAAGAGCCTGAGACCTTTGACACCAGCAGGGAAGCGCTGCCCCAGGCTGGTGGGGGCTGCAGGGCCCTCGCCCTATCTCAGAAGAGCAGCTCAGCACGGCCTGTGGCACAACAGGAAGTGGGGGAGGGCAGGGCTGGGGGTGGGGAGTCTGTCACCGAGACTCTGGTTGCCCAAATGGGTGCAGGGCCCCTGGGGTGAGCCCCTGGGGAGCCCGTCCTCGAAGTCCAGGGCAGTGGATCTGCGCTCAAGGGACCGTCCCACAGGCCCCAGGAGGCCCACCTTTGCCTTGGGGCCGTCTGTGGTCAGGCCACGGCCCTTGCTACAGTCTTCCCGCCAGAACAGGGCCCCTCGGGACAGGAGTCCCGTCTCTCCGCCATCTCAGAACGGCCCGCACGCCCCACGGTGCGCACAGTAGGCCCTCCTTCCCCATGCGCCGGCTGACTTGGCCCCATCACTGTTGCACCGGCCGCCCACAGGAGCAGGGGCTGTCGAACCGGCGACAACACGGGTCCCCAGAAATGGGCACTAAAAAATTGAGCCACACCAGAGGCCGCCGCCTGCAGCCAGGCTCAGCCCAAGAGATGCAAGAAGCCAGAGCCCTACACCTCTCCAAAGGGGACCCCAAAGAGGTGCTGGCCCCACCCCTGGACGGTTACACAAACACCTTCTTCTTCCTACTTCCTGAAAAGGAGCCCCTTGGGTGGCCAGGAGCAGCCGGGCCCAACAGAATGACATTTATGTAAACACCAGGAGGCCCGTTAAGTCTCAAGGTAGAGCAACCATGAGTGGTGGAGGACAGCCACACCCCGCCGTGAGGGACTGTTCCACCTCCTCCTCCCATAACGGGTTCTCCGTGTGGGATCCCAACCAAATTCCAATGCTGCTGTCCAGAGCAGAGCCGCCAGAAACCCACCACACGGCCCGCCCGCTTCCGGGGGCCCGCCCGCTTCCGGGTGCCGCACGCCCCTCAAGCTAAAGAACTCAAACTTCTCCTCGGTGAGCAGAGGGATGCTCCCCGCACCTCGGAGGGAAATGCAGCAGATTCCACATGAGAAAGGAAAGAGAGAAGGGACAGGGATGAAGTGCAGCAGGCTGAGCCGCGGCAGTCCCCAGGGGACATTTGGGAGGAAGGTTCCCTGCGGATGGCACTGCCTCCGAAGCACCTCGTCCCGCCCTGCTTTGGTGCAGGGGCCACACTCGGCTTTGGCTGCGGGGCTTTTGGTCTCAGGGTTCCCCCAACGCCCCAGCTCAGCTGAAGAGCCCTCATGCCCTGCTCACAGGGGCAGACACCCACACTGCACTCTCCAGGAGGGCACATGCACGGCAGCCCCCCCTGGCAACACCCCCGCCCGCTGGCTCCCTGCACACCCCAAGTACATCCCAGGAATCCAGAGCCGGTGGCGCCCCCGGCACCCTGCGCTTCTAGTGTCGGTGGAAACTAATCCGCAGCCGTCTTCAAGAGCCCAAGGGCTGATGATCTGGGCATCCAAGCGGAGCAATTTTAAGCGAAAGCGGCGGCCAATTCGCATTTCTTCCGGGCCCTCCCGAAAGTCAGGGAAGCCCCTTGCAAAAGGGAAACGCGTTCCAAGAAACTTCCAACAGGAGGAGAACTTAACCACTCGGCTTAGTTGGCCAAATATTTACAAAGAGATAGCTGTGAGCACACAAAGCCCTTTTCTTCTGTTCTGCGACCGAAAATCTGGTCCCCGCGTGGAGACCGTCCCCACCACCCCTCTCCCGGGGACCCGGGGCTGTCCTGCCGCCCGAGGCCCGGGCCAAGGCCGGCGAGCCTCCCGGCCCCACCGCTGCTGCGGCCGGCCGTGGGGGCGCACCCCCTGGAGGCCCCCCAGCGCGGTGCCGGGCTGGGGAGAACAAAGGAGCGAGACTCACCCAGCAGCGGAGAGAGTCGGCAGCGCCGGACGCCGAGCGCGGCGGCCCGCCCACCGGGTCACATGGCTCGGAGCCGAGCAGAGGATCAAAGGGGCTTTGTGGCCGCGGAACAAGGAGCCTCCCAGAGCGCAGAGCAGAGGTAGGGAGGGACCGCGACTGCCTGGGAAGGGAGGCTCGGCGGGGAGCTGCTCCGAGGGGGCAGGGCGGGGGCGTGGGCGGAGAGGAGAGGGGCGCCCCGCTGCAGCAGCGACCCTGGGGCAGAGACACCAAGGAGCCGGCCTCAGAGTCACCCTGCAGGGACGGGGTCGCCCCTGAAGGAAAGTGACATGGTCCCTGGGAAGGAAGCAACTGGGAAGAGGCTGCTCTGCCCTCAGGGGCTGGCCAGAGTCTGTGGCCCTGCAGAGCCGCCGTCCCTCCTCCCAGCCAGGACCTGACTCGGTCCTGGGCGCCCTCTCTCCCTGTGCCCCCACCTGCTCAGACATCGCCACACCCTGGTTCTCAGGCCCCAGGGCCAGCGGGTCCCGAAAGCCATGCAGACCTGCAGCCCCGAGCCACCCAGACAGGCTTGCAGGCAGTGCCCCAGGGGTGCACCTACCCAGGCATGCTATGCCACCAGACCACCCGACCATGTCAGGGCCAAGGAGGGAGCAGGAGAGCAATGGGTGGGGCAGGGCAGGGGGTGCTCACCCTGAGCTGCTCTCCTGGAGCCTCCAGAATCCTCTGGATCTAGTTTAGGCTCCTCCAGCTTCTCCAGCCCCTGGGGGGGCAGTGAGTCAGTCTCTGCCTTGCCCCTCCCGCAGGCCTCTGGGATGTGCTGGGACCTGGTGGGGCATGGGCGAGGGGGTCCCTGGAGGAGGGAGCTGACCCTGCCGGGGATGGGCCTGAACCCTGGGATCTGCCAGACCCAGCTCAGGGCCACGACCTCTGGCCCCAAGTGAGTCACTCCCAGCACGCGGCCACTCCCACTCTAGGGGAGAATGCCTGGGAGGGGCTGGTTCCCGGCGTTTCCCGGGGCAGGGAGTGACCAGTTCAGGTGGAAAAGAGCCTTTGGTGGCGCCTGGGAAGGGCCCCTCCTAGGGCCACAGCTGAATTGGCAAGGCCGTGCCCACGCCCCAGTCCCTGCGGGGCTGGTGTTCACCGGGCTCCCCACACTCCCACCTTCCCGTTCCCACTGGCCACACAGGCAGGCTCGCCTTGTCCCGCTGTCCCCAGCAGCGGTCACGGGCCATTCTGACCCCACTGCTCCCCAGCCCTGAGGCCCAGGCTTCCCCCAAAGGCCTCCTGATCTGGGGATCTGTCATTAACGGCTTTGGGGACACCCTTCCCGCGCTCATGCCGGACGGCCGTGAGGAGCTGCTGCCACCGGTCTCTGGGCACCCGGCCAGAGTGTCGGCGAAGGGACTGCACGTCACAGTCCTTGCTCTCTTCTTCACGGGAGGGAGGCCGGTGGGGGATCAGAGATGTGGTTCTGAGTCAAACACTGGAATCCAAGGCCCCCTGGCCCGTCACTCCACATCTGTGAACTTTGACCTTCCTGCAAAACGGGCACCCCTCAACTCCAGTTCCCAGAATTAAAGCAAGACATGCGTGCCTAGATCAGGAAGAACAACCACTCAAAATGCACGGCTTCCCTTTCCTCCCAGAGCCGACTTCCCCAGGACAGGGCGTGGGGAGGGTCTGTCCTCTCCTGCCACCTGCAGCCCGGCCCACCGGGCCCTGAAGGGCAGATGCAGGAGCCAGGGACCAAGGCCGCCAGGAGGGACTCCTGTCTGGCCAGGTGTCAGGTCAACACCAGCCCCAAACATGCGGCCTCTACCCTACGCCTGCCCCTGTGGGCAGAGATCTTCCTCTGAACCTCCTCCTCTTTGTCTCCAGCCTCCATCTGTCCCCCAGCTGTCTGGGCCCACGGGCCACTCCCAGGGCCACCACCCCACTCCAGTGCACGGCCGGCCTCCTCCAAGCCCGGCCTCCTTCCCCCCTCCGCCGGATTCCTGACCTGGGAGGCGGCAGCATGGGTGCTTTGCCAAGTGGCCGCCACTCTCACAAGTGCCCCCTGGCTAGTCACGGGCCGACGGGTCTCCAGACCACAGGAGAGGGAATCCTGGGCCGGGCCACTACCCCCACACGGGGCTTCCGTCCGAGGCACTTCTCGGAGTCCCTGCCGCTCAGCCACACTCGGCACCGGGACCGCAGCCTGAAGCGTGCTCCCTGCCCCCCGATCCACTGCGGCCACGGGTGTAACTGTGACTTTTCTAGCTGCCACATTTATAAAATGCAGTGTCACCCGACAGGTGACATTAACTTGAATATATTTTACTTAACCTAATAACAGCCAAAACATTATCTGTTCAACATGCGATCAATGCAAAAGCGACGGAGATGTCTTAGACTGTTTTCCCTTCGCTCGGGCTCTGCAACCCAGTGTGCACGTCACGCTCAGGGCACCTCTCGACTGGGACCAGCCACACTGCGAGGCTCAGCAGCACTTGTAGCCACTGGCTACTGTGTGGGACCCCACAGCCCTCGATGTCATCCCAGGATCACACCAGATCACCGGCAGCGCTGATGTGGGCCGGGCTGTCACTTGAGCCTCCCAGAGGCTCCTCTCAGGCCACACTTAGGGGTGGACAGGACATGGCTTGGTGAAACACAGTGCTGAGGCCACCGATCCCTGCCTGCATCAGTGCCCCCTTCCTGGGGACACCCCGGGCACATTTCTCTCAGATGTCACTATGAGAAAGAGCACAGCTTCTCCTGAGACACCGACTTGCTAGACACCTGCTAAGCATCACTCAGACTATTCCAACGACATCAGCCACTGCCGCTGCCAGCGCATCCCTCTGCCTGGTGTCCCCATCCACTTACCTGGCTCACAGGTGCTCAGGCTGGAAGAACCCCCGGCTCACAGGCAGCGGGCCTGGCTCGAATGGGTGAGCTAGGCCACTGGAATGTCCCCCAGGAGTGTGGAGTTAGGAACTTTTTTGGGGTGGCAGGCCCTGAAGCTTAGAGATCCTGCAGGCTGGGGGCTGTGAAACTCTCTGGGGCCATTTGCAACGAGGGCTACTCGGGTGGGGGCCCCAGAGCGGAGCAAGGCGAGGAGGAGAGTGTGGCCCGTCCACTCCTGCCCTTCCGGAGGCCTAGATAACCAACTCATCGTGCTGCTGTTTGTTTATTTTAAAGTTGCACAGAATTGCGCTTAATTAAAAGAGAATTTATAGAGACACAGAAAGCACAGTGGTGGCTGCCAAGGCCTAGAGGAGGGAGGGTGAGGCTTCCTTTCGGGGCGATGAAAAAGTCTGGCGCTAGACAGTGGTCATGGTTGCACAGCTCTGCCAGTGTACGCAAGTGCCACTAATTGTATGTTAGTTGTATGTTCTGTGTATTTGAACACAATAAAAAACATTTAAAAATGGATCTCATGTGTCCTTTTGTTTTCTTAAGCCTGTCTGTTTTACTGTTTTATACCTTAAAACCCAAAGGCCCCTACGACGAATCGTGAGGCTGAATGCTGCCCCTCCCCGGCCTGTGAGTGCTCCCACATCTGGTGAGAGGGGCCTTGCAGGTGTCACTGAAGATCGCGAGACGAAGAGAGGCGACTTAAATGTAATCACAAGTGGCCATAGAGGGGAGAGGCACAGAGGTTTTGCACAGAGCAGAGGCCTCACGATGGCCGGGGCAGAGGCTGCAGGGGTGCGGGAGCGAGGGCGGCCACCGAAGCTGGAGGCGGCGGGACGGGTCCTCTCCGGAGGGAACCAGCCTGGCCGACACCGTGACCGCAGCCAGGTGACCTCACACGTCTGACCTCCTGAACCGTAAGAGAGTGAGTTTCTGAGCCGGTGGTGGTTCCTGCAGCTGCAACAAGGACTAGCAAGCACGGCCCCCATCCACACCTCGGCCCTCGGTGACGGGAGGTTCCCTGCACGGATGGGAAAACACTCGGGGCTGGGAGGTAACTCGCTCAAGGCCAGGCAGCCAGTGAGTGGGGACATGATCCCTTCCAGCGCCCCGGTGGTGGGATCCACCCCGATTTTCCAAGGCTGCTGCTCCTGAAGCTGAGCCACAGGTCCCTACGCTGAGGACGTGCCCTCTGCTGGGGGCCAGGCTGGCAGCAGTTGAAAGAGGGCCCTGCGATGTCCTTGCCACCCGCCCTCGAGCAACACCACTGTCCCCATGACAATGCTCCCCACACTAGGGTCACAGGGGAGGTGGCAGCCTCAGGCAGCCTGCCCTGCAGCAGGGTCCTGCTCTGGAAGCAGCGGGGGACAGTCAGGGGACGGTCGGGGCTCCATCTACCACCAACCCAGCCAGCTGGGAGAAGGGCACCGCACCGTCCCCGAGGCTGACACCTGCCAGGAAACGCAGTGACACCCACACGCTGCTGTAGCGCCAGCGACATGGCAGCAGCAGGAAAGAGAGGCTGCGGTTTTCAGAGCTTCCGCCCCCACCATCCGCCAACACACACGTGTGAGCACGCACACAGGCACTGACACGTGCACGCACACACACACACACGCACAGCTCCCAGACCCCGCACTCCTCCCACCAGGCTTCTTGGCCACCGAGGAGCCAGGTTTTGAGCACAAAGCTCAGCCTTCCTGCCAACTCCTTCCAACCCACCCTGGGCAACACCCCTGTGGGATGCAGCAGATGCTCCCATGAATGCCAAGAAAAACATCCCTCGCTCCGCGCCGAGGGCCGGGGCCGTGCCGGGAGCATGGGGCAGGGCTGGGCGGGCAGGGTGTGCAGCCGGGGGCCGGCGGGCAAGGGCAGACCACTTGCCTCCCCGCGGCCCCCCTGGAGAAGGTGCTGGGAGCTTCCCAGCAGCCCCTGCTGTCCCCGGGGTGGGCAGGCTGGGGTCCCCAGGCGGGCGTGGTGGGAGCAAGCGGCCTGCAGGGGGCCAGCTGTTTTGTCACTTTCAGGGACATCTTCCTTTTTTCTCCAGTTCCTTCTCACTCAGCCCGGGAGAACGTTCAGGCTGCCCCGGTCTCAAAAACAAGCAGCCCCTGCTTCCTTCCACCCAGCTACCTCCTCAGACTGTGGACTCGCTCCCTGTCTGAACAACACAACCTCTTAAAAGCTGGTCTACACAGCGGCTTCTGTCTTCCCACCACCCACCCACTCACTCAACCCGAGCCGTCTGGCGTCTGCCCCTCCTGCTGCTAAAACTGGGCTCTTGAAAAACGCCCCGTGGCCGATGCCCAGCCCCACCCTCTCTGACCTCTTAGTCCTGGAGCGGGGTCCACCCACCCCCACCCGGTTCCCCAGTGCAGGGGTGCGGACAGCTCCCAGGAGCCCCTCCTCACCCTCCACCTAGTCTCCTGGGGCCGCCACACCTCCGTCCCCAGCTTCCCGCTCAGCCCTCCCCGTCCTGGGACTCAGGTGCCCACTCCAGCCCCGCCCCGAGACGTCCCGCAGGCCCTCGAGGCAGGTCAGCCCCTTCCTGCCAGTCTGCCGATGGCCGCTCACACACGTCCTGTCTCGCTCCCCCGCACCCCCGCAGGGCCCTGCTGGACGACCCTCCCGCCTTGCCCCTCCTTCTCCCTAACAGCTCCTCTGTCGGAGTCCAAGTTCTGCCCTTGCATTTCAGGGCCCCTGCGATCCGGACAACCGTCTATGAGCCTGAATTCCCGCTCTTTTCTAGGGACCCCACACTCTCAGCCAGGCCCACAGCCTCCCAAACGCCACCTAATAGAACCCCCGCCCCCCTCCTCCATCACACGCAGCCACCACCCCCAGGGCCACACCCTGACTTGGAGACTGCCAGTTGACCCGGTGGACCCGAGACGGCAGGCCCCAGCAGCCGTCTGGGGGCCTCGGTGGCGGGCGGGCCCCTTTCTTCCTGTCTAAGGAGTGCTCACCACATCCCATCAGCTTCATCTGCTCACAGGCACCTTCAATCTGCCTGTTTCCCCGCTCTTGAAAAGTTATGATTATATCAACACTGTGTCTTATAAGTTCTTTGATGACCCCTTAAAGTATGACTTTTTATTAAAACACGTGACCTTACTTTTTATTTATTTTATTATTATATATATATATTTTGAGACAGAGTCTCACTCTGTTGCCCGGGCTAGAGTACCATGGCGTCAGCCTAGCTCACAGCAACCTCAAACTCCTGGACTCAAGCGATCCTGCTGCCTCAGCCTCCCAAGTAGCTGGGACTACAAGGCATGCACCACCATGCCCGGCTAATTTTTTCTATATATTTTTTAGTTGGCCAATTAATTCCTTTTAATTTTAGTAGAGACGGGGTCTTGCTCTCACTCAGGCTGGTTTTGAACTCCTGGCCTTGAGCGATCCACCCGCCTCAGCATCCCAGAGTGCTAGGATTACAGGCGTGAGCCACTGCACCCGGCCATGACCTTACTTTTTAATAATAGAGTTGGCTGTGGTCTATTATTCCCAGGTGATGACCGCTTTGTAGCCGTAGCCCCGGGCACGACCCAACCCCCATCCAGTATCAAGGAGTCCCAGGTGTCCCCAGACGGCAAACTCTCCACAAAACCTAAACACCCAGCAACAAAACCGCCAGGCTCCGCAGCAATTTCAAGAATGACCCTCGCCTGCCGGCAGTGCCAGGCCACCGGCCCCGAGAGGTCTCCCGGGGAGGGGGTGCCACACTCCTCCCCACCCTGCCCGCCAAGGACAACGGCGGAAACCAGCGTCGGGCAGCTAAGATGAGCGGGTCTTGAGTCAAACAATTAAGTGGCCTGGTGTTTAGAGGGGACTGACCTCCAAGACCCGGGGTGGCGGGGAGGTGGCAAGAGGAAGGTGCAGGATGTCTGTGTGGCTCCTGGAAATAGGTTTGGTGGAGCCAAGGGTTCTCAATCCTGGTGGCACTGCACCCTCCCAAGGGGAGCATTTTAAAAATACAGCTATCAATGCTCAACTCTAAAGTTTGAAAATCTAAGAACATTATACAAAAAGAAAATGAACAAAAGCACGAAAAAAAGAAAGAAAAAGAAAGTAAATAAAAGATAGTTATCTGGGCACAGCTACTTGGGAGGCTGAGGCCGAAACATCGCTTGAGCCCAGGAGTTCAAGCCTGGGTAACAGAGAGAGACCCTGTCTTTTAAAAAAAATTAAATTAAAAATATAGATGTCTGGGCCCCACTCCAGCAATTCTAGCTTAACTAATCTGGGGGTTGGTATCTGAGGTGTAGCTGAGGTTGAGAACCGTTGGTTGGGACTGATGGACACACACACATGCATGCACACGCATGTACACACCCAAGACACATGCATACCTACCAAGCTCATGGCAAGAATTTAGAGCTAACCGTGCCTAAGAGACACGGGGTGGGGGGGGCAGGGTCGGTGGGGGCCAGTGGCTCCTTTGCTGTCTAAAGCAGCTCTTGTCACTCTGAGGCTTAGTCCTTTCCTCCCCGCCTAATCCTCTGGCTCCTGCCCCGGAACTGAAACGAACCCAGCACAAAATCCTTGGCTCAAACAGAAAACTGGGCTTAAAACCCAGCAGATCCGCGCAGTTCCTGCTGCCCGAACGACAGCAAGGAGCCCTGGCCAATTCGACAGACAATACTTGGGATTTTTATTAGGAAGGCCCACCGTGGGGCCGGAACACGTCACCCCCCACCTGCCTTGCAGGACAGAGACACCCATCAAGGGGTCCACAATACGTCTCTGAGGCATAAAAGTTATTGGGAGCAGAAGGCATTCAAGTTGCTGACATCTCTCATCTGCCTAAAAGCAGCCACCCACTTCGCCTCTACGGCGCTCGAAAGAACTCAGTTGTCACAAATCCCCTCCCTGGGAGGAACGGGGAAGACTGACTCTGGTCACAGGAAATGAGAGCTCTTCACACCACACCTAATCAGACTAACAATCGCTCCTCCCAGGTCATCTCCTAAGAGCTACTTACCTTTCCAAAAAGTCACTTGTTTCCTGTAAGTACACAATCCACCCCCCTCCCCCATATCAAGATGGTACATAGGGGCCATAGGGGGTGGCGCGTGGCTCACGCCTGTAATCAGCACTCTCGGAGGCCGGCCGAGGTGGGCGGATCGCTCGAAATCAGGAGTTTGAAACCAGCCTGAGCAAGAAGAGCGAGACCCTGTCTCTACTATTAAAAAAAAAAAAAATAGAAAGAAATTAATTGGCCAACTAATATACATAGAAAAAATTAGCCGGGCATGGTGGCGCATGCCTGTAGTCCTGGCTAGTCGGAGGCTGAGGCAGGAGGATCGCTTGAGCCCAGGAGTCTGAGGTTGCTGTGAGCTAGGCTGACGCCACGGCACTCACTCTAGCCTGGGCAATAAAGCGAGACTCTGTCAAAAAAAAAAAAGATGGTACGTACATAGGGTCCAAATTCTAATTGCCCATTCGAGTCACATTTTTCTGTGAATCCCCCTATGCATGTGATTCAATCTGTCTTTTCTCCTGTTAATCTATCTT